AAAACCGTTCCTTTGGGGCAAGGTTTTCTCCCACCCCCTTTTCCGGGGAAAAAAAATTTTTCAAAACCCCCCGAAAAAAAAAGGGGTCCCCGGGGACCCCCCCCCCCCCCGGCCGTTGTCCCCCACCCCCCCCCCCCCCCCCCCCCCCAGCGAACAGCCTCAGAACAGGGTGATACCCTCTCTACGATACTGCCCACCTACCTTTCTGGCGTGCTCCTTCCTGACCCGCTCCTTCTCTACCCTCTCTCTGTCCTTCTCCCTGCGGCGTCGGTCATGCTTGTCCCCCTGGCGGGCATCCCCCAAAGGCGAACCGGCGGCAAAAGGCGAGGATACGGACGCAGACGAAGACAAGAGGGACAGCAGCTGAGAGGAAGAAACAAGTACAGTATATAAATAGTCAGACAGACATACAGACAGATAAGCAGAGAAGCAGCCAGGCAGAGCCAAGCGATGCACAGCTGCGCGCAGATGAACACAGGAGGGCAGCACAACAGTGGTTAGGAGACCGATGTCTGTGCGTGTACTCTTGAATTGGAATCGACCGGGCAACCTAGCCGGCTGACCAAAGAGAAGTCTTCATGGGGGTTGAACAGATGAGAATCGTGAGTACCAGTGTATTGCTGTAGGACCGCGGTCTTGCTGCGTCCCACAACCCCGCGATGCTTCAACTCCAAAGGTGCGAGCTCCCACAGTCAAAAGACACCGCCCCTGAACACGATCGGGTAGAGCAGTAGGTCTACGTCTACGAAGTACATTGAATGGAAGAGGAATCCAAGCGGGTATAGATACAAACGCGCTTCGAGCCTCTCGGGACCTTGGGGCCGCTCTCGTAGGCAGAGCAGTCAGCTGCCAAATGGTGCGGCGTGAAGCTCGCCATAGCCTGGTTGCTCCATCCACATCGCCACGCGACTCAGGCACTCTCGCAAATATCGGAAGTGACTATAATACATACACGGTAGGCCCTTTGAGGCAATGAACACGCGGGCTACTGCTGTAGTTGTTGTACTCTCGGGCGACGAGTGCAGGCGACAGGACAGAAGCAAGAGCTAGTTCTCGCGTGCTTCCGCTGCGCGAACCCATCTTCGAAAACAAACACGTTCATCCACCGTTTGTCACGGACACAGCAGCCACCAGAAGAAGGGTAGCCGTCCTGCCTCTCATCGTCTGCCTCGTTCGTGATACTCGCTAGCAGACGGCGGCGCCAACGACAAACAATGTCAACAACAGCAGAGCAAGGAGACGGGGGGGGGTGATTACAACCTAGCCGCGCACACCTGCGAATGACTTCTCGAAGAACTCGAAGATCCCCCTGAGCGTCCCCCTCCGGATCCTGACGAAGCTAGCGAAGACATATTCCCTGACCCTCTGTCTCTTCCCAACCTGTTGCAGTGGTCTGCAATGTCTGGAGCGCCGCCCTGATGGCTGCCGCCCTCTCTGCTTGCAGCTCAATGCAAGGGTCCTCGCGAATGGTACCTCCCCCCAATTACCAGTGGAGAGTTGTCGGAAGGGGTCCAACGAAACCGTCGATCAAAACACAAATTCGCCGACGAAAAATGTTCCGTTTCGACGAACACGCGGAGAGAAGTCTCGCCGCACAGAGAAGTTGCTCCTTCCCTCTTTCAGATGTTGATGCCTACAGCAGCATGGGAAAGCACCGCCTGAGTTGAGACGATACTACAGTACATACAGTACACCCGTTAGGAGAGAAATGCGCTATTTGCCTTTCCGGCGCCTGCGTGCCCACGGCGCGACAAAACACTGCCCAGGCCTCCAGGCCACCTGATCCGTCAACCCCCAAAAAATCACTCGTCGGCTGCGCGGTGGAGAGCAGCGGGGAGCTCCGAATTTCCTGAGAGGCTCGGCAGTACCTCCCGAACAATGGCCGCCTAGAAATCCAAGTTCTTCCTTGATGGCCATGTCCGCTAAAACAATAAACCCAAGGCCGCAGGATACAACTACAACACTACTGCAGTAGTCTACACCTTTGTTGACTCCCGGTCTCTTCAAGGCTTTGACGACGCGGTTGGTTGCCATTTTCGTTGAAACGAAGAACAACTCCTCCTCATACTGTTCATCGTATGGGTGTTGTTGACGGCTGCCGCACATGGCAGTGTTGTGTGTAACGGAGTCTGGGGGTACTCGTCCCGAAGATACCTATGCGGTTCACGTACAATATCTACACACACTTCATTGCTAGGAGGAAAGATAGATGTGCTACCCATCCAACAGGGGCAGCTATTAGTTGTACTTTGTTGGACTTGTTCTTCTTTTTTCTTGTTCTTCTCGTTCTTCTTCGTGGAGCAGCACCAAACCCGTGTCCGAATGAGGGGGGCGAAGCAAAAGCGGGGTGATTATCGACGAACACATGTGCTCCTGGAGATTGTTGCCCGTACAAAAAGTTGATCTTGAACGGGGATTCCCACACGTACGTGCGTCGAGGGGCGAGCGACGGGTGACACCTGCTCGTGGGGAGGGTGATTCGATGGCCGGGGGTGTGGCGAAAGGATCAGATAGCGTACATACTGTAGTTCGCAAGGAGCTGGCGACGACAGCTAGGTGGGATGGACAGCACGACCACAATCTGCACAACAAACGATATGAAACATGTATGTCAAATGTGTCTTATCTTTTCCTTGGCCCACCTTCTACCCGAAACTCCCCCACAATGTCGAAATCACCTCACCGCCCCATGGCAGGCGGGGCAGTCGAGGGGGTCAATTCAGGTGCCGATGAGGTAACACCCACACCCACTTCTGTTTTCACGCAAGCCATCGCGCCAAAATGAAATAAACCGTGTGCAGCTCACAACCACAAAATAATAGCGGTCCTCATATGCTGGCATGGAGTCTCCAGCGGAATCAATCGCTGGCCAGAGGATCGACAAAGCATATTTCGCGTAAGGCTGACATTTTCAAGCTCCTTGGACCAGCTCGTGCCCACAGTAACCCTCCCAGAGAGTCTTTGACCGAAGAGTTCGATGTCGCTGACCGGGAACGTGACCTGAAAGAAAGTAGATCATCCCGTTTCCGAGGAATGCCTTTGTACTTGGTATACTTGCATTGGGTTGTTGCTGACGTCGCGTATCAAGTGGGAGCGACGGGCTCTACACACTTCAGATACAATTTCTCCATTTATTTTCGTAGTGTATGTCTCTGCAGCGTCTGAGTGTTGTCTGGGACCGCATTTAGTTTTCCGTAACTACCTGCAGTCTAGACCATTGCCTGTGGACTATTTATTTGCTTTTTGTTCTCTTGGACTTCCCGGGTTGCTAACAACAAGCCTTTGGCCACACAGAACCGTCCATGCCAATTTACATAAAGTGCACGGGTGAGAGAAGATACCGCGAAGATTCTGAACGGTTTGTAACATGAAGACGACGATGACGACGGCGATAACAACAACAAATAACGACAACAAGCCTTCAACTCACGGCATGAACACATAGTTAGGCTTTTTTTTTCGGCGGACACATGTTCGGCGGTAAAGCCTCAAACGACCGTATTTGTGTCGGCGGTAGGCGACAATATTGCGTGTTTCGGGGGTAACGACTCGGGGTGGAGGCAGCAAAAATAACTGATTGCGGTATTTTCCCGATGGTGACGCCGTACGGCGGAGGCGGCATTTATTTTCGTTTCTCGGCAGTATCGAATTTGGCGGCGGCAATGAACCGAAAAACGGCGGTAGACCGGCGGTATACCGGTACCGTCCACAAGGGGCGGCATTTTCACGGTGGGGTTACCGGGTACCCTTGGATGCTTACCCACCTTGGCTGGTCAGAAGCTACATATATATATGGCTAGACAACCAATAAATCACTTTCTCTACGTTCAACTCCGCGCAAGTATTTATGGATAGCTTCGCCAGAGACGACTTGCCCTCGGCGTCCCGATCTCTGCGTGATGTAGAGCATCAAGTCGAGAGCCCAAGTGTCTATGTCTTTCGCCATGGACCAGGTGACCAAGGAGGTGGCGGCCATCAGAAGGTGGTGGGAGAGACATGTAATGAGGTGTGCCGTCTGTTAAATGTTTAGCCCAGAAGCCTCACGAGAATAAGCAGAGCGCGAGCAGTTCTACATACAATGCCGACGCGATGGAGGAAATGCTCGGTCTTTTACTTGTTGTCCTCCACCCCCCCCCAAAGAAAAATTGAATTTATATCAAACGTAAAGTAGTTAGTTTGACACATGTGCAGGCACTCGAGAGGCCGAAATCAAACATACATGCCACGAAGCGAGGAAAAAAGAGCAAAAAAATGAAAAAAGCGCGGTACACGGCATGGACCTTGTGTACACTCTTATCCAAGCATAAACGCTCTACCACCTGAGACACAAGGCCAGACGAAATGTTCGGGTATAGCAGGGATATTTTGATAAATATAAAGTGTAGAACGTTGCCACCCATGTTGCAGAGGTTCACAGAAAACGGACCTTTGGCCCACCTTGTTGGGCAGCAGCACCATGGGGGCACTCGCAGTATCGGCATGCCGTAAGGAGAGAAGATGTCCTTGCCCATTAGCTGTTTGGTTGTTGTTCTTACTTAGACGATCATGGTGCTTGCGGTGAGGAGAGCGAAACCAATCAGTCAATCCGTCTATGTGCACGACGCCATCCTTGTGAGCTTAGTCCGACGTCTCTCGCATCGGCGTGGGCAACAGGGAAGGCCGTCAAACCATAGCCGGGAGGGTACCCACGGAGAGGAGGACAGATTCGCGTACCTCAGGATGCTACGTGCAAGTTGCAAGGTGGGTAAATTGTTATTGTACAGGAACACGGCAACAGCCACGAGATATGCACCTTCTGCATCTTTCGTACTGGGCGCCAACAGCCAACATTTCCTTAATAATGTACAGCAGTACAGTAGTGCATACAATAGTACACTGCTGCTGCTGGGTAGCATATACATGGCGCCCGCTTATTTTATTGCGTGAGAGGCTCTACGAGTAGAAACAATTGTCGTGCATGTAGTAAAAGACCTCTGGATCCAACGCACCGCAGCTTTCGCGACCACTACACAACAGAGGAGTGGAAGTATAAAGGCGGCATCACGTGAAACAATACACACCATCACCAACATTTCACCCATTATAGTGGTCCACAAGGGTCGCGTTGGGGGTTTGTGTATATCCCCGCTCTACACAAACGCCGAACGCGACCCACGTGTGCTCTACACGACGCCGAACGCCAACCCTTGTGGACGACTACATGGTTTAATGTTGCTCATGGTGCATATTGTTTCAGGCGGTGCCGCCTGTGTACTTCCAATCTTCTGTTGTATTGTGGTCGCGGAATCTGCGGTGCGTTGGACGCAGAGGTCTTAGTCTATCTAATTGATGAATGACATTTCTTGATGGTATACGAATAATATTTTCTGTTCAGGCGCTGCTTGCCGAGTGGCAAGTTGAAGTCGACCCTAAAATAAACAGCTGGAAGTAAAGGACGTACTACGTCCCCCGCATGGGGCCCTCATTGAGACCCACAACCTTCTCGGTTGCCAACGCAGCACGCCGATGCGAGAGGATGCGCGCCACATGGATGGGTGGGTGGACCGGTGGTTCCGCTCTCCTCACCGAAAGCGCCGTGGGTCTTCTAAATTAGGAAGAAGAGCAACTCAACTGGTTCATAGGCACAAGAGCATCTTCTCTCCTTACGAACTGTCGATGCTGCCAGTGCTCTACATACGATGTCGCTTGTTGCGCCTCACAAGGTGTGCCCGGTCAGTGTGCTTTGAACCTCTGAAACAAGAGAGGTTCATATATTCTAACTTTAGATATACCAATTTGTGGTACACTCTCATCCAGAGGTGCGCACTGGAGCTTGTGTCCCAGGTGGTAGAGCGTACAACTCTGGGGAAGTAGATTCGAGGTTAATGCCGTACCGCGCCTTGTTATTTTTTTGCTCTTGTTTCTCCTCGCTCAAAACAACCGATCCTTGCTGCAGCAGTATTTATCTATCTATCTGTGGTACCATTTTTGGCATGGGATCGTAAACCTATTGCCCTCCAGTAACCTTCTGCACAACGCGCTTGCACATTCGATTAATAGTCGGGTAGTGGTCGACTGATGATGCCGGTGGGCACCTTGTACGCTAGGCCACTCAGCCCGTCGCGCGGTCTCATTGAGAAGCTGAAATATTTTGATGGTGATCTCGGCTGATTTCGGCTTCTCAAGAGGATAACCCCCAACAGCTCTCAGCCGCACAGCTCTTGCGTAAGAGCTGGTTACCTTCGTTTCGCGGCATGTACATATTATTTCGTCCTCTCGTGTGTGTGCCTGCACATACATCTTAATGGTTGGGTAGAACTAGTTATAAGTTTTTTGTTTTTACATATCATGGTATGTTATATATGTATAATTGTTTTTTCGGGTGGTTTGGAGGCCAAGTAAAGACCGAGCATTCTGTCCATCGCGTCCGCGTTGTATATAGAGCTGCTCGTGCTCTGCTTATTCTCGTGAGACTTCTGGAATACACGTACATTCAACGGCAGCAGCCATACGACAATTTTTTCGAATTACTGTATGTACGACTAGGGAAAGGGACCGCCAAATCCCCTTCGCCATCAAAATAATGGCAACAGTGGCCCGGTACACACAATTCGATTGATTTCTCGAGCGCACCGTCGATTCAAAAAACGTACTATACATCGAACGAAAGCTACTTACGAGAGCTTTCGAATGCACATACGTTTGTAGTGAGATATCGATTTGGTCAAGAGCTACGGAAATTCTTAGGGTCTGAAAAAATGTGGCGGGTTTAAGAATTGTCGAATGTGGCGTAGTAGAAAAACATTGTCTGAAAAAAATACGTTGCTTGGAATCCTCACAAAAAAATGGGTTCTAACAATGTTGGTTCTAAAAGTTGGTTCGAAGGTGCGCACCAGTTATCAATCAAACTTGAAGAGCACCTCGAAAACTGTACTTTACATGGTATTGTACCACTGTGGAAAGAAAATTCGCCTAACACGGGGTAGACTGCTTCAATTCCAGAAAGAAAACAATTGGGGTGCTCGTCATTCCAAGGCGAATCCTACCCTTCATGATGATATAAATACGTAGAACTTTGAAGGTCATACAGACAATACAAATCTTTTTGTAGTGGAATGGTCACGATGTGGACCATGGTTTCAGGGAGCCACGTGTTTGATTCCACGTCCCCCAAGTATTTTTTTCCATCTTTTTTTTATCTTGAATATGGAGTACTTTTTCGCCGGTCTTTTTTTTTTTGTGTGTCCCCTAGTCTTATCGGACGTGTCGTGGGGATCACGGACATAGTTTTCTTGTTTTAATTAGTGGCCTCATTCAAAAGTTATGGAGGGCCAACCAAACAGGGATCCTTGAGCAATTCCGCTGAAGCACCGCGGAGGGAATGGTGGGGCAAACAACACAAATAAATCCCTTGTGATCCCGGCAAAACCGCCTTCCGTCAACACAATTAACGCCATATCGCGTTTCCGCGGACACATTCGCGCCGAATATAAGTTTAATCGCCTCCGCTAAAGTCTTGACTGCCGAAAATGAAAAGCCATCTAACTTTACCGTCAAATAATCTACCGGCGTGGAATGTGGCATTGCCGCCAAAACTTACGTCCATTATACATATTGTTTTACGGCCTCTGCCGAAGTCGCTACCCCCAAGAAACGAGGAACCTCCTACCGACGACACGTATGGCAATACCTCCCCGTCTGTGCCCGCCTAAACAACGGTTACCACCGACAGAATCCTTCAACACTTGCCAGCATAGGTTGGTTCTACCGCTTCCGTTTAAAGCATTACCGCCGAAAACACAAAAAAAGTAACCTACCGCCAGACCGTATTGCGTGGGCCCGCCATATTTTCTTTCTACAGCCTCCACGAAAGGCACTACTGCCGAAAATGTAAACCCACCCAAAATATCCCGCCAAAACAAATACCGCCGCAGGGCGTTACTGTACTGCAGAAAAACTGATCATCTTCGTTCTATTTTTTAACTGCCTCCGCCACTATAGTAGTGATTTACCGCAGAAAAATCCCAAACCAACCTACCGCCAAACACAAAATACCGCCGTATGGTAATACCACCTACAAATCACCGCCTTACTATGTTTTTACGACCTCCTCCGCCGATATCGTTGCCAAAGAACTTGAAACCGCCCACCGACGAAAACGTTACCGCCGTATGGCAATACCGCCCAGCCTCTGTCCGCCTAAAACACCGTTGCCGACATGACCCTTGGAAACAAGTTCCGTCATAGTTACGCTGTGCCGCATCCGTTAAAGTCATTACCGCCGACAATCGCACAACCAACCTACCGTTCAACAAATTATCCTCACTTAACATTTTCGCTGAAACATACCTCTATACAGTATGCATATGATGTTACGTTTTACCGCCTTCGCCAAGTCGTTATCGCCAACTACTTCGACCGGCTACCGCCGCAACAAATACAGCCGTATGGAACTACCGCCCCCACCTATATCGGCCTAAAACCGTTACCGAGTAAACCGTTACAGAAATTGTCATATGACCTTTCGGAGTATGTATGCACTAACGCAATTATCAATAATAAATCGTGGGTCAAAGTGAAATCTAAATTCTGATAGGTTTTCAATGCGGGGTACTCTATTTTGTGCACTAGACCCGATCGTTACGAAATTGGCATACAGTGTTCGAAGATACATGCTAGAGGAAAACATCACATGCCTGATGATCGGGCCGCACAAAAGTCAGTCACTGCAACCCTGTCACTGGTCAGCACGGGCGCCAAGTCATCTACGGAAATGCCCACGTCGTCCATCAAGCAAAACTAGCATACTAAGCATGCAGGCTGGAGTAAAAAAAAAAAAAAACACACACACACACACAAAAACAGGCTTTGTGTAATACACCATAGAGAACCTACTCTGGGGCCGTTTTCCCATGTGCCGGCACACAGAAAAAACGCTTAGAATCTGGGCGTACGGGAGATCATTTTGATGCCGACCCTTCCTCCGCCGATGTTCGTCTCGCGCTTCAGCGGTTGGTGTTGCTCTTGTCTGGCCCCCGGGCTACGACGCCGTTGGTGGCACCCCTTCAGCGGTCGGCTCAAGAGGCACAAGCCCCACAGACGCCGTCGGAAGGCGCTCGTCTACCGAGACGCGGCGAAGCGGTGCTTCAGAGGCGGACACTTCGGACGGGCTAGCCGCCATCTTCGACAAAACGGTCCGCAGGCTGCCTCCAACGGAAGACCCCTGGCTCGACGCAGCAGCAGCCAAAACCGGGAACGGACGCTTGTCGCCGGCATTGCCCCCGGCCGTCGAGTGCAACGCCGAGGTCGAGGCGTCGTCCCAAAACGGGCGTTCCTCCCCGTCCTCGGTCTTGGCATCTCCGCAGGCCGTTCCGCTCGGCTCTTTGGTCTTCCTCTTCTCAGGGCCGAGCACTTGGTTGATCGTGCTCTCGTCAACGATATCTACACCGAGAAGCATGTCCTGTTTGGCGAAGCAACAGCCAATCGGCAAGCACAATTTTCAGAAGAGGACCCTCCTTGACGAGAACATGCAACGGCCGGTGGGTGGGGGGATTGACAGACTAATTCTCTGCATAGCGTTTATTGTGCCCCCTGTAAAAGGTGGCGACTTGACAAACAACGATTCCACCAAAAAACACGTCATTCTAGGATGGACGAAAACACGTCATTCTCGTATGGACGAAAACACATCATTCTAGTATGCACGAAAACACGTCATTCTAAGATGGACGAAAACACGTCATTCTAGTATGGACGTACTGTATACGCTGCCAAGATACGACGGCAGTCGGCATAATATAAGACAATGTGGGCACATGCATAATAATGTGCGTGTGTGTTAATTGACCACAACAACCCAAATCAGGACACGAAAGGCACAGCGAATGTGAACCATGCAGCGGGTGTTGCGCACTAACCTGCGCGTGACTCCTGCTGAACATCGCCTTCGCCGTGGTACAAGCGTTGAACCAGATGGACAAGAAAAACATTATGTTCACGATGACCAGTGCCACAGAGTACGCGGCGCTGCCACTTGAGTCCTTGTCTGCTGCACCCGACTTGATGACCAGCGCCAAGAAGTTGGTGAACAGGATGACGAGGCACCCCTGATGTTAACGATATTGCGCCAGACCGGGAGAGGATAGGCGTGTAACAACGTGTATGTGGGGGCTGCACATGAAACTGGCCTCCGAATTTGTCCTTGTGCCAGGGGAGAGGGACGGGGGTCTGGGGTGGCGAAGGTGATGATATTAGCATTGCCGGACCAAGACGTGGTATGTAAAAGATTGTTTCTTTTTGTCCTTATGAAAGTGGCCTTCGAGTTGTCCTTGTGCCAGAGGAGAGGGACTGGGGTCTGGGGTGGCGAAGGTGATAATATTGTCATTGCCGGACCAAGACTTGCTACGTACATGGACGGCCAAGACCATTTCCTTTGTCCCTGGCCCTGCCCTGTAGTTTATAGTCGCTAGGCACACCAGAGTGGTCGGCGTTGCACGCCGTCAAACTCGTCGTCGACTCACCGTCCGGTAGAGCTGTCTGTCAAGATTGTTGACGTGAGGCCGTAGAAGCTCGAAAACCATGAGGCTGTCGCGAGGTGGACGATGTCAACAATCGAGCGTGTTCGGGGGCGGAATCACAACAGGGCGGGGGTGGAACGACAATTGGGCTACCATTCAGGCACCAAAAAGACGGAGCCTATCCTTTTGTTCGAGTTTTTGTGTACAGAAAACGCATGGTTCGAACAATGTGAGAGGGAATAAGATTGTTTGGTCTAAAGATCGCTGTGTGCTTCTCTGCCGTGAAGTTTTTCATCGTCGTTTCTTCGTCGCCGGGCTAGGCGAAACAAACAGCAAAACTCGCCTCACAGCAGGCAGGTAATCGCGGTGCTCATGTCAGTATGGTCGACCCTTCGGGAATCCCGGTTTATCCCGCGTATCATCCCATCCTTACAACCAGTGTCTGCACAGATCCCTCCAAACATACCACCAAAGTCACTTCCACCCACCCCTCCTCAATCAACCGGAACCTGACCCACTGAACACAATGTAGAAAGACACCGTGCAGGGTGCGCATGACATGGCCTCCATGCCCCCATCAGACAGTACAAACGCACTTTCAGCCTCACTACCATCCCGACAGCCCACCACATCCTCGAAGTAGGGGCATAAAAAGTGTCCTCATCTGAACCCGACTGTACGAATGCCTCGGGGAGAGAGAAGGAGTACCAAAGAATTTTCGTGAAGACAACACCCATCGCGTACACGCTCTGCAAACCCATGCCTACCTGAGAATGGCAAAGATGCAGCTGAAGGCGACTTGTCCCGGCGTATCCGGCACAAGAAACACCAAGATTCCGGTCAGCAGCAAACGCCTGATGCACTCGAAAACCTGCTCTCAAGTTCCGTGGGTACCCAGGTAAAAGAAACGCGCGAGAAATATAGCGTCACCCCCCGACCATTGGGAACAGGGGTTCATCTTCGAGGTCATCGTGCCCTGTTTACCCGGTTCGAACTGCCAACCACGCGGGATAGCGCAAAAGCAGTTTGAACGGAATTTTCACATGAATTCTACAACCAGGAAGCAACGCAACGAACCGAAGACGTCCTTATCTGGCCGAAAACGAGACGTAGAACACAGGACCGTCGCACCCCACTGCCCTTGCCCTCACGGGCACACAGGTGACCCGGCAAGGAATCCAGTGTTTCAGTTATCCCACTTCGCCAAAGTGAAGCAGAATGCATCTGCTTCGTTGCTGGTGTGAGGCTTGCCGACAGTTGGTAGTTGGGGATCCCGTGAAGTTACCTCGTAGTAGTAGCACTTAGGGAAATAAGCGTTCCAGAGGAAGGACGTCGGGGCGATGCTCTGATCTTTGTCGCGAACGGACATCTTTTGTTCCTGCCAAACAAGAGGGTTTGACGAAGCAAGCAAAAGACGACAGCTGTGCATCAGCAGCCAGACCAGAAGCTCAAAGAAAACGACCTCCTTGTTCGGACACGCAATTCACACACAGCGCCCGCTGCTTCGGCAGGGCAAAACGAAAGGGGTGAGAGAAAGCGCAGAGGTTGCACGGGTGGGCACACTTCCGAACGGCTTACACCTTGACCTCGACCGCGCGAACGAAGCACAACCTTGCGCTGTCCCCGACAATTATTTTCGTCCTAAACCACCTCCTCCCTTCTTACCACGACGTGGCGTCCGCCTCGGCGTTTCTTAAGAGCCTCGTCGGTCGGCGGGTTGATGCGAGAACGTTGGCGCAACAGGAAGTACAAGAAAACCGCCGGAATGCCGAGGGGATCTGCGGGTGTTCGGCGACATGCTTTTTTTTTTTTTTGTTCTTCACTTCAAATCAGCGCTCACAGCACTAGTGCCGTTTATTCCAACCCGTGGTCACACAGAAGAGCCTCTCTCTACCCTCCCCTCCTGCGGTACTTCGCCTTCAATTTTTAATGCGAGAAGAGTTCAGCACTCTCTTCCCTCTGTTCATGAGCACGCACGCAACGCATACGAACAATAACGTTTCTCCTACCTGTATCGAACAAGCCTAAAAAGACGACCCAACCCCGGGACCACCGTGTTCAGGGGACGGCATGAACACGTTTCGGCCACGCGGCAAACAGAGGTCGAACCAACCACTCAGAGAACAGCGACAACGAGATCTCAGCAAAGTAGAACTGCTGGGGTCTGGGGCAACACGAACTACGTCAGGGTGCTACCGTGTAAGCACTCCTTTCAAGCCCACTCATGAGCCACACGCGTTGTGTAAGTATCAACCTTTTCCACGACGCAGTCTACGATCTACAGTAGACCATCCTTTATCGAGCAAGCTGCAGGCAGCCTGGCGTGCTACCAACGAAATAATCCGAGTTGACGATCCATACCTTCGTGAGACGCTGCTTCGTGGACGCAAGTGTCGTATCGCGGACTGCTAAATACGCCTTGTATACTCACATATACATATCATCACGCCGGCATAGGCCTTGTACAGCGTGTGACGTTGGGTGTCGCACTCTATTCGGAAGTCTGCCCTCAAGTAGCTCTTGCCGATCTCGGGCAAGTCTTCGCACGCGAAAGTCTGGAAGACCTGCGAGACGAAGCAGAATCCATGATGAAGGCACTTGTTCGCACACGAAACACGTTAAACTACTCTTGCAGCAGACCTCAGCAAGGAACAGCGGGAGTGTGGGATTGTGCAAGGCGAGGCAAACATATGCCGACGCTTCGTAAGACGCTTTTCGTGCCTGGGACAAGTTTAGCTACCAAGTGACAGACGCAAACGGCCAAGTTAATCCTCGGTCCTTTGTGCATTCTAGGCTTGGTTTACAATGTGCTTGGGTTAGTAAGCTTCGGTTAGCAACTCGTGAATGCGATCTACTTACGGTTGTGTCGAGAAAGGGCAAATACTCACCACGGTCGAAATCTGGGTGTAGACGAGGTAGAGCACGATGAGCATTATCGTGGTGTGGCGGGCGAATAGTCCCCAAAGACGTTGCTGAAACAAACAAGAGAGGGAGACAGACGCCACCACAGAAATCCGAACATCGACAAAGGGTGGACGGTCAAACAAAGCACGAGTGACGACCATTGCGACCAGGAGGGGGGGATGGGCGATTCCAAGTGACCTATTAGTACTGCGAGCGTGTGAGCGGGAGACGGAGGAAGGCAAGAAAGAGAGACAGCGCTAATTCGGCATGGGTTGCTGGTGAACGTCGCACGAGCACGATTGTCCCAACCTGCTCGGGATTTTTCGGGTCCCCCGACTTAGCCCTCAGGGCGCTCCGAACCGATGGTCCGCGAGCTGCTGCTCCACGATTCGATGTCACGCTCGTCGTCGAGCCCGAAGAGGCGCCTTGCACCCTGCCCTCCTCCAGCTCCCTCCCCCCGCCTCCCGAAGCAGCAGCACCGCCAGCGGTAGCGTTAGGACTCATGTTTGTTTCCTTCGCCGGCCGCGACCCCACGAAGAAGGTAATCCCCAGGAAGAAGAGGGGCACCAGCGGCCCGATCGTCACGATCCTGTTCGTCAACCACGAAACAAACGGACCGCCCGGAACAAACAGACAGCAGCTGTAACAACGAAACACGTGCTGTGCTGCTGGTGCGTACACACAGTGGGACCGATCGCACAGGCTAAACAAAACGTGACGACCCCTCTTCTCGCCAACACTCAAAACGACCAAAGTGGTCCCTGGCTACAATAACCGACCTCTCTGAAGTGAAAAGGTACCACAGACATTATTACGGGGAACGTGCGGGCCTGGTCGACACCAAACAGAAGTTCCCCAGATAGCGGATGCGGACATCTAAGGCAAAATATATAAATCAGGGGCTCCGAGGAGAAGAGAAACTTAGGGGTCAACACATTACCATGGGAAGCGCGACACAACACGAGAATCGACCCATGACACGTTTACCCACACCATTCCGTACTTGTTCTTGGGTCACGGCGAGCGAACTTCAATCCCCACCTCAACAGCTTGCAGGCCCATACCGAGGCTTGCTCAAAGGCCATCAACAGACATGGCGCTCGGCCCAACAACTCAACCAGTTCGCATCTCAAAAGCGAAATACACACACCTTCCTCTTGGAGTATCTTCCCCTCAAGGCTTAAAAAAATCAAATTCATTTCATTTCCTTCGTCAACCACGAAGCAGGCTTGAATCGTTTCGACACACGTGCATGTACACTCACAGAAGCTTGTCGTAGAAGTCAATGCCCGTGGTCAGACACGCCGCCGACAGAATCCAGCCCAGGTCGAAGGAAAAAATTCCGATGATAGACAGAAACTTCTCGTATATCGGTGGGAACGGCGCCTTGGTGATGTCTGCGAACTGCCAGTTCATTTCGTGAACGAAAACGGTGTGTAACGAGCTTTTAAATAGTAAGAAGTCAAGGACGAAGGTTGGAATGGACGATGTGACAATGTGGCAGGCGCTACCCTGCCCCCTTACGTTGACCGACACTTGGGGGGCGGGCAGTACGACGACAACCGATGGGCCGTCGACCATGACGACAACGAGAACCTACAGTACAAAATTGTCCTCGTGGATGAATGTGGATGATACTCAGCATGCAAACACCAACATTTCTGTGCACAACTTGCATGCCTGTAAGCCGTCAATACAACACCCCGTCAGGTTGCTCACCGCGCTGGTTATTTGCCACACCACTGCTGTCCTCGAGCAGGCAAGCGCAGGTATAGAGATCCAGACAAAAGATACAACGAAACAGCAAAGAGAAGGAGGCATGTTCAGAGAGGGCGTGATGCCGGGAGTGGCTTCAAACGCCGCGAGGACTCCTTCCAATGTGAGACGCAACACAAGGTTCACGTGCCAAGACATCTGCATTGCGTGCTGTGCGGGTCACGGGCGACCTTCAAAGGGCCTTCGCGATGAGTACGGCCTGGTATCCGCCTGATGCTCCCTACGGCCTACAGCGAAAAAGGGGGGTTCGGGAAACGCATACAACGGGTACTGTACGTCCATCCTCGGATGTCCGCGTCTCGTCTCTGCGGCGCAATATCCGCCTTACCCATGATGGGCGGTACGAGGAAATCCCGCATATCGTCAAACATGCCGTTCCATCACGAGTTTGCTCCTTGCCTCTCACCCCTACTTCTCCTCACCTATGACGATCTTCAGCTTGGACAGCGGGAGCGCGGCCAACAGGTTCGCGACTCTCGTCGGGCGCGCGTCGTCGTCGTCCTTGTCGTTTCCAGACCCGCCGGTGCCCTGGCCGCGGCTTTGGCCAACCGAGACGTCCGTCGGAGCGGCCTTGCCCTGTGCGCCCCGCGCTTTCGTTGAAACGGCGGAGCTCTCGACCGATGGGCCCTCGGTCAGGTCGCCAAAGTCTGATCGAGCCCTGCCAACGCTGCCAACCGAGCGTGTGAGGAGGACGGATCCGCGATGCTGGATCCTGAGGGCGGACTCCTTGGTGCTCACCACGGTGGAAGACACGGCCCTCTTGCCTCCCACCTGGGGTGCGGGTTCGGGGTCGTGAGAATAAGTGGGGCAAAGAGGAGTTGCTGGCCCTGGGCTCATCCTATTTTTCGAGGGGTTTTGAGACGACCTCTGTCGACGTTGTTCTCCCTGCGTCCAGCTGCGCCCAACCTCCGATAAAAAGCTCGTTATTTTCCGATTGGCCGGACAAGATGTTCGCGAGAAATTCTCATGTACCGATGTCTGCCCACTGCTGTTCGTTCACCAACACCTACCAGGTATATCGCAAGAAGCACGACCACCACGACCATAGCCACCAGCAGCACGGCTAGCAGGAAATACATGCCTCCCTTGAAGCCTGCAGTGCACGAGTGACACTCGTCCGCCACACCCTTTCCGAAGCCTGTGTCGCACACAGCACACTCTGCAGGAGGAAGAGTGATGTCGAGAGAGCACGGATGTACATATTGCACGGAGGCTCTCGGGAAGGAAATGTACACGAAGTCCCACACGACATGGGAGACGAACGAAACCCAACAACCCGAACGAAATGGTAAGCTACTTAGGACTCATTCCCGTACGGCGAAACACTCTTCATCTTCAACACCGTCATTTTTCGGAACGAGGTTGTGCTCTTTCAGCACGTTGTAGGATCACGGAGCTCGAACGACAAATCACGCCACAGACATTTGCATCGGCTGGCTGGTGCTGCGGTGAGAAAGTAAGCCGCAAGGGTAACACAGCGGGGGAAACATACACGCCCGACTAGCTGGTGATGTTACGCCATCCATCTATCCACTCACGAGGTCCTACGTAGCCCTCGTTGCAGTAGTCCTGCACTTCTGCGACGGTCGTCCCTCCCTTGCAAGCCCCCTATAGGGGAATCGGAGACACCGAAGAGCATAGGCAGGCGTTGTTGAGGGGGGGGGGCAAGGGCACGCGTTGATGAGAAAATGGGAGCAAATATCAATGCGAGGCGTGTTTCCACCGCAGGAAGACCTCTCGGGAAAGGTTGAGCGGGAGGGAGGGGGAGGAACACCGTAATGCAAAAAAGAAATATCACGGCCACGAAGCCGAACCGAGGATCACCGTGGATGCTGAGGGACTAATCGCTTGGCCTCAACCTAGGATCATTTGATGGCGATGGACCTTTCACAGCTCGCTCTGGTCACCCTTAGAAGCGTCATTTCCAGACGACACATGTCTTAAATGCTATTCGGCCTGTATTTTACCGCCGCCGACCACCGCACCCACCTCGTTGAAGCACTCGCGAATCGTGAGGGAAGTGACGTTAGCCCGCCAGTAGCCTGCCTTGATCGGAAGCTCCGTCGTTGTAGCGCCGGCGGATGCGCAGTCCACCCCCTTTGCGACGATGACGTGTCAGCAGGACGAAGGGAAACGTGTGGGGGGGGTGGAGGGCGGGAGCAAGGAAACTGTAAACCTCGCTTGTGGCATTGTTGCGGATCTTCCTCACCATTGGAGGAGAAAAAAGTGTCGAACGTTGAAAGGAGATGATGGCCGCGGAGGCGCAAAGTCGGTAATATAGTCGGGGTGTCATGTAGAAGGGGTAGTAGCCGTGGCAGGGGAGCAGTACACTCGAAGGAGTTCACGTCCAATCGGGAACGGACTTCCATCGCAAAAAAACAAAAGGTACCCGAGGGGGCGGAGCGAAGGAGCGTGGTTGTCCAGCGGAAAAGAGTGGTGCGTGGTTTCATTGCGAAACACCGTCGTTCCATACGTTTGGCAGATAGAGCACCGAAACTGGATGGAACGTGATGCGTGGGGTTAGTGTTGGGAGGGGATTGGCTCGTACGGTGGAATAGAATATACGAGCCAACCTGTGACCGCCCGAAGATAGACCGACAAGCAGGAGCGGGATACAATGTCGCAGCTCTCCCTGGCGGAGGCAACCGTTTCGGGTTGAAGGTGTGGCTACAGAAGAGGACGTGGAACCCAGTCAGTCAAAACTGAAAGCTGTAAGAAACTACGGCGAATATTGAAGACGGCGCCAGAAAAAGAGTCACGCGTACGTAATTGATTCGCTTTATGTTTCATTTTACCGCTGCTGTGTGTTCCATCTCAAAGAGAAGGAAAAAACAGAACACGCCAAACAATTCCAAGTAGCGCCAGGTCGTCTGAAGATAAACGGCATGCACGAACCCCGAACCTCAATAGCGCCATCGATGGACTCGGTGCAGAGCGTGCACGCCACGGTGGGGTCGAGATCTGCCCCCGAGACGCTCGAGTTCCAGAAGTTACCCTCATCGCAGAAATAGTACTCCACGCTGATCGTGACGTCACCGCCTTCACTCTGAGGCTCTGCGTTGCTCGCCAGGATGGACGCCGTTGTGGACAGGGCAGTGATGTCGTTCGCTCGGATGGTGATGTTGGCGAGGCCGTTAAATGCGTCGTTCGGCTGACTCACAAGGTGCAAACGAACGCTGCAGAACAACGGAACCATGAAAAACGGACGTACTGCCATTAGATGGTAGATAGAAAACTTCCAACCGTTTCGATTGTGCACAGTCCCTGGTGTCTTCCCTGCTGAGTCAATCGATGTCTCGAAACAAAAAAACAACCGTACGGATATACCCTATATCTGACACCCGTCCCATCACCTCCACGGGGACAACGCGTGGTTTCGTCTTCACTCCACTGACTTGTGCTCACATACCGGTGGTACACACTCGCGACCGTTTGGCCCATCGGTAGTGTCATACCCTCACCTCTCCCCTGGGAGCAGCAAGCCTGTCGATGGGAAAACCGTCCAGTCGTCCTGCTCGCCCTCTGAGGACGGCCACAGCCCCGACACGCTCCACGCCACCCGGCTAGCGCCGACACAGCTCCTGCTGCTGGTGGCGATGTCGTCGTCGTCTGCGTTGGTTGTGTTGGAAGGCGCCAGCGACAGTTGCAGCTCTCTTTCGAGCAAGCTCGGGTAGAAGGTTGGTTGGGATTCGGTGTCTTGGATCAGAGTCAGGGTCAGCGCGTCCACGTCTCCACTGGCGCACACCTTTCGTTTTGTATTGCCGTGGCGGAAGGGGTGGGGCAGCGACGAGGGGCACAACGCAATAGAGGCGAAGTTGTTGAGATGGGAGACATGTCGTACGACCGAGTTGTGTAGGAAGGCAGCAGTAACATCTACTCAGTGTGCTTCGAGCGCGGTGCCGGTGACTATGTATTTGGTTGGAACACAATCGGTCAGGGGTAGAAGCACTCTTGGGCCACTAACAACGATGACGAAGTGATTGACAACGTCGTAAGCAAACAAGAGAGGCTGGCCAACAAACACTTGCCTATTCCATCGCAACCAAGACCTGTGGAGTGGGTACCATTGCAAAAAAAATGGCTACCTTGTGCCTTCGGGACTTCCAGAACAAGGGCATTGCGAGCGTTTCCGGCCCGCTGAAAACCGATGCGCGCAACAATAGGGCGTGGACTCTTCTTTCGACGCCAAAGACCAGAACGTGCCAACCGTACCGCGAGGGGTGGCGGCCTAAACAGGCACAGTAGACGACAGAGAAGGCGCCCCCGCTAACGAACTTGATAATAACATAATAACTAGCCTTCGACTTCACGGCATGGTACATGTTGAGAGCATATTCCCTGTTGGTTTCCCACAGGTCCAATAAGCACCGAGAGCTGCCCAGAGTGATAATCTCTGAAGGCTCGTTCCTCAGTGGTGGCGCGTTGTGTGTCCCACATGAAAAAGCTAGTACGTTGAATTCCTGGAACCAAGGCAGGCCTTGTCTCGCACTACATGGCGATTAACACGGAGGGTCATCAGCATCGTGACACCACTGCAATATTAAGATTTCACAGCGTGGTAGAAAGCACGTCTTGCAGGGCGTGCTGCGCTCGTACCTCTTCCATGGTGGATCTGAGCTGGTAGTGCTCGCAGTAGACGCCGAGGTCACCCTCGAGACACCACGACCCTTCGCCGCAAGGTGACACCGCCGACGATGAGTTGCACGTCAGGTTCAGGTTGATGAAGCTGTCGGCGCTCGGCAGCTGCAACATTTCTGACGCTTCCTCGGCGATGGTTTTGTCTGCCACACACGCGATCGCGACAGGTAAAAGCCCGCACAGGATAAAAACGGTGGCAGCAGAAAAGGGTCACGGGGCCCTCGTGAGAGACGACGAGGAGAGGAGCCGTGGTCTGACTATAACCTCAGATATGGCCTCCCGGGCACCGAGAAAACCCTCAACGTTCGCGATGGACACGTAGCAAAGGGAAGAGTTTCCAGGGGGAAGCAAACAGCGGAGATGGAACCAACCGGCGTACCACAAGGCGCCATATCTACCGTATGTACGGAACAAATGACGAGGGCATGAGCCGGAAGGGAAAACAAACGCGACAAGCGGAGGGCAAGGCGTATAGACCATTCCCACGACCCACATGTCGTTAAGCTAGATAGCAACAACGGAGTGGCAAACAAACGGCACCTATCAACTCACAGTTCATTTCTCCTAGCATAGCGTTCCGGATCACGGTGGCGTCTTCCTTTTCCGCGTAGACCAGCACCGCACTCGAGCTGCCGCTGAAGTCGCACTCGTCAAGGTACAGCCCCCCTTCACTGTAAACGACCACCTAGGGAGCCAGACGGAAGCCACAAAACGGGGCAAAGCAATTAACGTACATCAACGTCCACGTGCTGCATGATAAAAACAAGGTTCTGCGAAAAGGGTTGCGCATCCAGGATTCCGAGTGACTTGGGCAAGAAGCTCCTAAATCAGTGAACATCTATGTGGTATAGCAGTGCCTCACGTTTGCGACCTGTCCACCTTCGTGACGATCACCGCTCGTTCGGGTTCACAAAATTAGGCTACAAAGAGCTACATGCCCCTTTTTTGAGCACACCTCTGACATGGCGCGTTCGAACCCATGGAACTGAACCATGAACGGAGAGCCCTCAATCACGCACGTACCTCGCCAGCGAAGCCCACGAACGAGGTGTCTTCAGCTGTATACGTAGACAGTCTGTCGGTCTGCACAGCAGATAAGTCGGGGTTCTCCGACGTGTCGTTAACGACCACCTGCTCAATTCGCGTGTGGGGACAGAATTCCTCAGCCAAGCACCAAACACTCGTATGGAGCGAGGGACAGTATTGATCTTTCGGACGACGCAGCACATAGATGGACAGACAGGCGTTCGTTTTGTCCCTTCTTGCTCTGGTTGGTCCACGCGAACCTCGATCATTCGCTCACCTGATACGTGATGAGCTCGCTGTTGACAACGAAAATGGCGCTGCCGCGAGTGACGAAGTTGTCTGACACCTCGACGCCGCTAAGAGTCACGACCGCGTTGTCGCGGGCGTAGCTGCCAAAGTCAAAGCAACAGCAGAGGGAGAGAATTAGAGAGAGAGAACAAGGACGTGAAGGGCATCCGGCACACACAACTGCTGTTGTAGCAGAGTATCGCACCTCACATCGCACGCAATATCTTGTTATTGAAGTATCCACGAATTGGGAAGGGCGAAACGTAGAGCTTATCCAACCTCTATCTCAACGAGACAGCAGGGGATAGAGAAAGCAATCAACACTAGTGAAAGATATGCGAGGACGTTGCTGAGCGATTCCCGTGGTGGATTTCTCTTCGAACGCAAGAAGACGCACTCTTTCCCTTGTTCTCACATGGCGGGCCCGATCAGCGCAGAGTTCTCCCTCAGGTGGCACTCCCACTCCAGATTCGCGCCATCGACGGCGTAGATCGCGCCGCCATCGACGCCCTCGTGCTGCAGAACTGTCGCTCCCGAGCAAGCGGCATTGCCCTCGCCCGCTTTGTACAGAAACCCTCCGAAGTCGGCCTTGTTTGAGATGAAGGTTCCCCCGGTTATCTGGCGGAAGCCGATTGTTTCGAAACCAAGCGCCCGTCAGACGGTGTATCCGAAGAGTAACGGTTAGATGGACTTTCCGTCGGAGGAACAGCCTAATAGGAGGCCTACCTAAAGCTGGTATACTTTGTGGCAATATGTGTGGTTGCATGGCCAAAGCGACAACAACAAAGAAGCCAGCGAGTTTCGACGCCATGGCAAACCACTGCAGCAGTGGCATCAGGCTCATGTTCCGCTATCGCCAGCGACCCTACACACCCGCACCTCGATGTCTGCACCGCTCTCGGCGAAGAACGCGCCCCCTCCGTTGCTTGCATTGTTTCCTTGCAGCAGGCCCCCGTTGAACGCCAAAGAACCGTCTGCGACGACGTAAACCACGCCGCCGTTCTCGGCCACGTTGTTCTCGAACGTGCCTCCTTCGACCACCACGCTGCTTTTAAGGCTGCCTTGAATCACTCCGCCATTCTTAGCCGAGTTGTTGGAAAAGTGCCCACCCAGGACGGAGATGTTGCCCCTCGTCCAAAGCACTCCCCCGCTCTGCTCGCCTTTTTGCCAGACTTCCTCTTCAGTCTGACGCGTTTTGGGGGGGTCTCTTTAGTGAGTTATTCGAAGTGGCGCCAGCAGCGCAACGGTTGAGCTTTGAGGTACAGCAGTCGAGACGCCTTGTTGCCCCCCGATGCTATGAAAGGCCAATCAAAGAGAACCCTCAGATTCGAACGGGTCAGGCCCGCATTGGACCGTTGCCGAGCGCCAAACGCGAAACAAGCAACACTGGGCGGGCGTCGGGGACAAATTAGCGTAGGCAAGTCGAAACAAGATCGTCATATCAAGATCAAGATTAAAGATCAAAGATCATATCCTAGGAGACCGCTTATTCTCTGCCATGTGTCCATCTGTTTTCCCGCGTCCGAGCATACGACGCAACCATTATTCACTCGATTAATACCCTGGATGTGAGCAGCGAGTCACAACTATCAGCCTTTAAACAATCTTTCAGGAAATTTCGAGGCGCGGCCTTTTCTGCGTACAGTAGAGGTCCCTGTTGAAGGCCGGAAAACACCGGCCTTACGTCGGGGCACCGGCACTACTCAGAATACGAGACACCTATAATGTTCCATCGGTGCCAAGCGATTTCACCGGCCTTGAATAGCGACCTCTACTGTACCTCCATGTCCGCCTCGTTGCCGATGAAGGTTCCCCCCTCGACCGTAATGATGGAATTGTAGTCCGCCCCGATCGCGGCGCCGCCCTGGGCGCACCTGTTTCCGTAGAACACGTTACCCTGCCCGACGATGGTGGTGTTGGTGAACTTGTTCATGGTCACCCCGCCGGCGTTGTTGAGCAGGGCCGTGTTGGACACGAAGCTTGAGTCTTGCACGACGAGAACGGCACCGGGGTCGTCGTCCCAGTTGTCCCCTCCCGACAGGTTGACCACCCCGCCCTGTGTTAAGACCGGAGATATCAGCAGCGGTAAACGGGGTTGGCCGGCAGGGGGGTGCGGGGGGAGAACGTCGTAAATAGCGTAGTCCGCACACTCCAAAGCTGGTCTGCGAGGACGTCTTGCCATTGCTCATGCTCAACAGCAGTGGAAGAGTTCGTACCAGATGATGACCACGATGTGACAGGATTTCTGAGTTTCTGGGGGGTTCGAACTAGGACACGATCCAGCTTCAATGAGGTGGGAAGTGACAGAAAATGGCACGCATCACGCAAGAGGGAGTCTACCCCGCAGCCATGGCGCTTTCAGCTCCGCACAGACCGTAGCGTCTGCTGACTTCGTCGAGTACAACCATGATGGAAGTGGGAACAACCCCACACGCCAGCCGCACAATCGTCGAACCGTGTGTGGGCACACTAAACCGAAAAACATGCCCTGGTGCGACCTCAAGAGGACCCTCTCGGCTGCTTCGTGTACTCTCCACGATGACCGGAACTCGCCGTGCAAACGCTTGCCAGGAACCAGGCGTCGGCGGCCGTGCCGACACGGAAAGGCCGCTGGACGAGTAACGCGAGGGTGACTTCTGTGGGCCACAATGTATGTGGAAAACCGCACACAGCAGTAGCGCGATGCCTACAGGTACATCGTTTCGTTTGAGAGTTTCAGCGTAGTCTTCCAAGGATCAAGCCGGAAGCCGGATTCATACCTCTCGACTGCTGTAGAAGATGACAACCTTCCTCCAAGCACTACGGTGCTACAGCCAACCTCTATACCAGACGCCGAGCGGCATCGAAAAACGTCCAGGCAACTTTTCTGTGGATTTTAGCAACCACAATACGGCAACGAGGTGTAACGGCAAACAAAGAAAAACGAACGGGTTTCACACGAGAGGAGCGGGCGACCCCTGTCGCCATATATCAAGGCTGACGCAAAAAAGCAGCAAAATCCCGCGAAAATGAAAACGTCGCACTCCAATATTGTACCTTCTTTCCGGCCCAGTTCTTCTCGAGGAGACAGTCCGACAGGAGGAGCGCGCACCCCCCGCCCACCACAATCGCGCCTCCTTCGCCCTGAGGGTCGTCCGACAGCGCCTTCCCGGCCGTGTTGTTCCTAACCACGCACCCGTGAAGCTCCACCGTTGGGCGATTGTCATCATCCCCCGCCGCGATCGCTAGCGCACCGCCCTTTTCCGCCACAGAATTGCCGGAGAAGACCGTGTCTCGAAACTCGCAGGACGCCGCCGCCGGCGTATCGGAGGAGTGCGTGCAAGCGACCAACGCCACCGCCCCACCCTCTCCTATCGCATCCTCTGGAGAGAGCGGGGGAAACAGCGTTGGGGGATACGGGGGGACTGAGATGGTGGCCGGATATTGAAGGGGGCACTCGATATCTGTGCACCATGGTGCAAAAAGGATTGCGATACTTTTTCGGCTTTCTCTACCCACCGGGTTGCGACTATGAATCCAAGAAAGGTCTCCCGAACCAAGGGCGCGGTGGTACGGGGCGGCGACGGGATACTTTGGCTGCATCGGCCCCATGATTGCAAAACAGCACCACCGTGCGGGTGTCTTTCGTGAACCCGCGGTACGGCGCGCGTCGGTTTCGGTCTCTCACCAGACTCCTCGTTGTTGCTCCCGGCGGTGTTGTTGTAGAACAAGGAGCCCACCACCGACAGCTGTCCCGATTCCTGTATAAGGCCGCCCCCTTTCTTGGAGGCATAGCACGTGTCGAACAAGCAGCCTTCGACCAGTACAGTAGAGTCCTTGGCCTGAGGAACAACACCAGGAAGACGACAGCAGTCGCGGGAAGAGGTTTGGGCAGGAGGTCGGGTATAAACGACGCCGAGAGCAGCCATAGCGACACCGGCCTTCATCCATCCACACCCCCTTCGTAGGCTTGGAAGGGGTTCCCTCTATTAAACACGGGCGTCGAACAAGAGGTGCAAAGACGACCTTGAAACTACTACCACCGGGAAGGCGCTCACCGCGATGCCGCCACCAACCCCCTCAACCTCGTCTTCGTCCTGCCCGGCGAACGATACAAGCCCCGCGGCGTTTTCCCTGAATGTCGAGTTGACGACGGTCAGCATCGACAGGTTGGCCAGCACTCCGCCTCCCCGCACCGAGGCGAAGTTGTTCTCGAACAAGCAGCCCGTGATCGTCACATTCGACTGCACCGCGTGGACGCCACCTCCGCTGTCAACGGTCGCGTTGTTGTCACCGTTCGCGTTGCCATCGCGCACGGCCAAGGCGTTGAGGGAGAGCTGTCCACCGTTGACGAAGAATATGGGTCCGTCCGACAGGCCGCTGCCGGCCACCACAGCCGACGAGAGATCATCGCGTGGGAGGGACAACCCGCTCCATAGCTCATCGTCACCGCTGAAGCTGCTGATGCCCGTGTTACCTATGCCGCTTGTGGTGGTGGTGGCGGTATCTTCGCCGTAGATGTTGACCGTCGTCCCACTGCCGATATAGATGGTGCCCGGTGCACTCACCTCCCCGGACCAGACCACCTCGAACTCGCCGCCTTCGCAGTCGAAGACCGTCTCGAGGTCCACGCCGCTGGTTGGGCTGACGGTCAGCCGGCCGGTTGCTGCCTGGAGGCACGGCGCCGCGAGCGCGGGCGCAACACCCATCCCCAGGCACGCCCATGCCCACGCGACGGCCAGGAGGGAAAAGCCTTTTCGCTGTCGAACTCCTCCCTTGGCCTCGGGATGATGTCCACGCTGCTCGTGTCCTGGCGCTCCGCTTGCCCCGGCGTCGGCGGGAGGATCAGTTGGAACCACGTCGGGGACATCGCCGACAAGTGGAGCCAGCGGCCTAGTCTTCCGGAAAGCTGCTTGAATCACAAGGAAATACGCGCGTGAGCTGTGTTGGATTGGGTGCGGTATTGGGGCGACACGGATGGAGTTGATCCTTCTGCATCGCGGCCACTTCCGCAGCTGTGATTCTTCAAGGGCACGCTAGTTCTGAGAGTTATCGAGGACGACTGAATATCCAACACGCTGAAAAAACGATGCTCTCAACAGACGGCGCTGAAAGGACTGCGGAGGAACAGAAGGAAAGGCCTGCGAGTTGGGTGGGTTGGCGAAGGCCGAACAAGTGGTCTTCCCTCGCCCCCCATGAAACGGAAAACCCCGCACGCCCTCACTCAGCAGAATAAAATTCCCGGTATTGCCGAAACTCCATTCTGAAGTGCGTTTGTTGGCACGGGGAATGAATGAGGCCACTTTTTCTTTGTGGAGACTGGGCCAGACTACGCCGCTAGCCGTTGCCAAAATTAAACCGTCGGCGCCTAAAAGGATCACAGCAAGCGTCAGAGTCCTGCCGTAGGAGGAAGCCTCCCTAACTTTTCTGCGGTGGGTCCTCCGTTGAATTTCAGTCTACTTTTCGTGGAGTACTTCTCCAACGCCTCGGAATTCACGATTCACCCCACGAACTAACCGTTTTGCACACACTTGTGCAGGGGGTCTCTGAGCCATCTGCCTGCGCAAGAGAGAAATAGTCGCACTACTAAGCGGCTCTATTTCGTTATTCTTGTTGGCGAGTTGTTGTTGCCCGGGCTGGCTCCAAAAATACATCTGTAAAATTGCAAGATAAATTACTTCAACTACGATAACTTGTAGACTGCAGTTAGCGCCCGCGTTTACGAAACGCCAATTTTCGGCGAGGCCTCAAATTCCTGTTGTGGGCTGAAAGCTTAGGGTACGTTGTCCAATTTCGTATGCCAAGCTCTTATTTTTTTGTGCCGCAGAATCCTGCTGAATTTCTTACATTGAATTTCTTAAACTTTCAAAGCCCTCACGAGAGGCGGCGGAGAGCACCATCAAACCCGTACAGCAGACAGCACATCGTGGTTCGCGACATATGCCAGGCAGTGTCAGAGCCGGCAGGGTGGGGGAGGAGGCACCGCAAAAAAAAAACAGGGTACACCTCGGGAAAGTTCCCGCCGTTTTTTTCCCGCCGTGGTGGGCGGTCCCGGTACTGGCGGGAATTACCGCCCACATTCGGTGGTACCGGGAACCGCCGAAGGCGGTACCGCCGAAAAACGAAAAACCGCCGACCGCCTAAAAAGTACCGCCACATTGCAGTACCGCCGAAAAAGTACCGCCAAAAAACGAAGTACCGGGAACCGCCTAAAAAGAACCGCCATATTGCAGTACCGCCGAAAAAGTACCGCCGTACTGCAGTACCGCCAAAATGGTACCGCCAAAACACGAAGTACCGGGAACCGCCAAAAGAGAACCGCCATATTGCAGTACCGCCGAAAAAATACCGCCGTACCGCAGTACCGCCAAAATCGTACCGCCATACTACAGTTTTGCCCTCTAAAGTAGCATAGGGTACTAACTCCAACGCCATGTCTCGCGCAGAACGGTGGTTCGAGTCCAACTGGCGTGCGTCTTTGTTCACATTTATTCTTTGTTCTTGTTCTCTTTCGTCATACTGTACATATATATGTATATATATATTTTGGTTCTGCCTTGTTCCTTTCGGCGGAACCTCTTTCATCTGTCGCCGATCGTCAGCTGTTCGAACCAGCGCTTTAAATAGCGGCGAAGCGGCTGTTGCGGAGCCGCCAGGCTCCCGCAACAACACGCCGCAGGCGTGTTGCCGGAGGCGATTTTTTTTGAATATTTACTTGGTTTTGAAAGGAAATTACGTCAAAAATAGTGTTGTTATTTAATAATGGCGAGAAAAAGGGCCCCAAAAAAAAATTTTCGCCTACGGCGAAATGGACCCCCCCCCAAAAAAAATATTTCGCCTACGGCGAACGTGTTGCGGGCTAAAATTTTTCGTTGCGGCAAGCCGCAATATCCATCCAATTGTTGCGCTTCCGCAACTCCGCAACACCTATTTAAAGCGCTGGTTCGAACACACACATCACACACGCAGCAGTTGCCCCAGCGCCCAGCAGAGCAATGAGCGCGTTAGAGGGGAATCCCGGTGCTACTAGTAGTGTAGGAGATGGGTCTGCTGCTTTGTCGGTGGCGCGTGCTGCCGGTGATTCTGTGGACGGGAGCGATTCTGTGGATGTGGAATCGGTGGCTACGAGGGAACTAGAGCTGCAATCCTCAAGCGAGTCTCGCACCATGGTAGATGCGGGCCGCGGCCAGTCAATTTGCCATATTTCAGTACCGCCACCAAAAAACCGCCATATTTGGCAGTACCGGGAACCGCCGAAGACGGTACCGCCATATTTGGCAGTACCGGGAACCGCCGAAGGCGGTACCGCCATATTTCAGTACCGTCAGAAAAATACCGCCGTATTTGGCAGTACCGGGAACCGCCTAAAAAAAACCGCCATATTGACGTACTGCCAAAAAAGTACCGCCATTATTGGCAGTACCGGGAACCGCCAAAGGCGGTACCGCCGGAAAACGAAATACCGCCAACCGCCAAAAAAGTACCGCCACATTGACGTACCGCCCCGCCTGGATCCGCCTAAAAAACTAGTACCGAGGTGTACCCTGAAAAAAACACCACCCTCGCCGTACACCTAATGCACTGCGAGGAGGAGGTGGTATTATAGCTCATGGATGGGAGAGGGGGGGAAAGAGAGAGAGAGGGAGATAGGAGGTAGCTGTGGGGTTGTTTCTTATTCGACAAACTCCCCCTAAACCCTCGTTTCTTACGTACTACTGTAGTTGTTGATAGCGGTTTCTACCTTTTTTGGCGTTTGTTTCTAAAAAATGTGTTAATCGCGGACGCAAACTGGAAGCTGGCTCTTGTGGATGAATCGTAGTCGTCCCGCTGGTAAAATTTGTTGTTGTGTGTCCACTCAAACTGGCAAAAAAATATGCTTGAGATGTTGTATTGTTGGTGAAAATTGAATTGGAGGCACAGAGTCACCGAAATATGAGGAAAATTTCCAACCAACGAGACAAAGGCTTCTGGCCATCTTGCGTCACCGCCGGGAGGCTTCAGGCACCAACGCCCGTGAGGGGGGGGGGGTGCCTTGTGCTCTATATACTGTGGTCATTGAACATTTTCTCGCGAGACTTTTCTTGACGCGGAATATTTCTCTCGCGAGAAATAATTCAACTGAAAAAAATGTTGACTCATGAGGTGGTGAGCCTCACTTTCATGAGAAACACAACGAAATTAAGAGTGTCTCATGAGAGTCTCGAGGGCGATCTTAGTGGGGAGGCCGAAAGAGGCCGTGAAGGCGACAAAGCATGGGCCACATTCAATGAAAGAGTTTGGGGGTCTGCTGGCTGCGACTGGTGCCTGCTGCTCCTGGCCAGGTGCTGCTTTCCTGCCGCTACCATGATGGTGCCCGCTGCGTCCCCTCAAATATAATACCGCCTTTGCAACCAGTCTCTTTACTCTCGTATGCTGCTGCTGCTGCTTCGGCGAGAGCTACGGTCGGGTTCGACCATGGTTTCTCTCACACGCTCGGGTCTCTGTTTCGCTAGACACAAGAGACAGCAATCGTCGTAAGTGTAGCTCACAAACGAGAGTACAGCAGCAGCAGTCATGCATCATCACAGCCGCCTTCCAGCAGCTTCAAGTGGGACAAAATAATGGCCGATCCTCTGTTACCTCCTCCTCAAGAAAACGCCGTGTTAGGTTATGTGTTACATGTTCCGATTCCCCAACGCCTTGTGTCGGCTGCCATGATTGTCCTAGAAGCAGTCCGCGGCCCCCGCGTCAACTCGTTCGCACTGCTGCAGCGCTCGACCCTAAATACGATTGATTGCGGAACAATTGCTGTGATGGATTTATATAGACAACAAGATCCCGGCGTGTGTGCTCTGCCCTTCTCCCCCTTTTCTCCTGCAGCCACGTGCGCCGAACTTAGAAAGTAACCGAGAGGTTAACCGAGAGGTGCAGATTGCCACCAAGAAGAACAGATGGGACGAGACAACGCTTGTTAACAAACAACGCACATCCTGCTACCGAAACACGCCCACCCCGCTTGGTTGGTGGGTCATGCGGCGCATTTCATCAAAATCTCACGAACACTTTTTCCGCAGCCATCAAGGGGCTCACTTTTCATGCCCGCGCCCCGGACAGCGGCGGTCCTCAAGCGCTTCGCGGCTGTGGCGGCCGACAGGTCTCTGGAACTCCCGCCTGCCGTTGAAAACAACGTGTGGGCTTGCGTGAATGAACTGCTGTGGGTGCCAACAACAGGGAGCAAGCTGTGTGACACGGATTTTTGTTTCCCCGCTCTCGCCCCTGGCCAGTCTCGCAGCACAGAGAGGAGCAAGAAACATGCGCAACAGAAAAGTTCTTGTGTGGCCGGCAGCGTTCCACAGAAAAACTGCGAAAAAAGAATAAAATCTCGCCGCGACCCACGCGCCCACCACAAACGACCAACATCAACGAAAACAACGCCTACAACAACAACAGCAGTAGTGGTAGCGCCTACCTACACATATACACAAGACGACCAGTCTCGCGAAGATATGAAATAATAATCGCCCACGATTGTAGCAAAACATTGGCTGTTGCTGCTGCGTCGTGTAGCAGCTGTTTTGTAGGAAGCTCGGAACATTCTAGATCCGAGTGCGGGAAGCACCCTTCCTGTGGTTGAAGTCGAGATCGGAGACCGGAGATTGGGTGCTGCGGGACAACCCTACCTACAACTCGCGCAATCCTATCCATCGCCTCGCCGATGTAGTTATTTAGGTGCGTTTGTAGCATATATATGCATACGTACCACCCTATATCAACCGAAGAGAACAGTAACTCATCTCAACCGTTCGATTTCTTTTTTTGTGTACAGCAGTACACATCCCGTTCGACTGTGGGTATATCTCGAATGGGTAGTCTTTCTGTGTGTGTTTTTATTATTCCTTAATACATGTATGTTGTATGTTGCGATGTGCTTAGACTACCGTTGATGACACAAGATATCGCACCCCCTGGAGTATTGTAAAAGCTCGATTACTCCATGGCAAAACGAGCGGCGGCGTCGAAAGCGGCGGCGTTGGAACCATCTCGTGAAGAGCTTTCCGAAAACCTATCGTTTGATGTTTACATTGCTTGTACTGTAGTCAAGATTTGAAAATCGGTCGACCAGAAGGGGTATCATATTAGGAGTATCTTGTGTCACGTAATTTACGGCAAAAAAACGGGGTGTAGGAATAGGGGTGAGATACTCCGACATACCTTCACGCTCGGAATATCGCACCCGCTGACTCTCCTCTTAGTCCTTAGTCGCGGGCCAAACGACAATCAAATTTACCGCCCCTCGACGATGCCGGCGAGAGGGCCATATTTTGCGATGGAGTCATGTAGATCGGAACTCCAAGGGTGTGGAGGGGCCGCCAAGTCCCCGAACTGTTTCCCAAACGCCCGTTGAACAACCCGGTGGCCACCCACCTACACGTGCACGGCTTTCAATGACGAAAGCGTAATTTTCCACCGTGTCGAACTCCGCACAAAACACTCTGTTTACGCGCCTCCCGTCTCTGACTGCCACGAGGATTTGGTGTCAGGGCACCACAGCGTTCCACAAACGACCGTGGCAAGCTGTTCGTGCTCGCCCGGGAGTGTGACAAAAAACGCCAACCGCACTTATCGCACAATCTTCATCATTTCACACGTCCACCCGTACCCGCACCACCACGCACACCAACTTGCGCAGGGCATGGGGTTGTCAGCCTCAGCGACCGCACAACGAGATTGATCAACCCTTCCATCGTTAGCGGCGGAACAAGAATGAATGTCGACCATGATCAACCTGACAAAAAAAAAAAAAAATGAAAGCTTAGACGAAAGCGCGCCCGTCTCCCGGGGTCCCGACGGCAACTTCTGTCCCTCTGCCCTCGTCCCCGCCCCTCTCCGTGGCGACCGTTTCGCGCCATTTCTCCCCGTCGACGCGAAGCGCGTCGTGTTCGGCCAGAGTTGTGCGGGCGATCGCTGACCCTCTCAGAGTGATCCCGGAAGTTTCGCGCACGTTCACCACCGCGTAGTCGCCGGGTCGCAGAGTCGTCTTTTGGCCAAGAGGGACGCAGTTTGAAACAACAAGGGGGGGCGGGAGGTTGGTGAGGGGGCGTCCTCATGGCTTGCATGCCATAGTTGTCACAAACGGGGGGGGGGTGTTTGTTTAGGTCCTTGCTTTCTGGTGTTGCCACAACCTCTGATCCCTTCTAAGATACGCTTGTACCATGGTGTACGTGCCGGTGTACGATCGAAAGCAGCAAGGTGGCGCAGAACGGTCCTCCGAACCTACCTACCAGGGACGGAGCCTAGCATACGACATCAGACGATCGCTTTCCAGGGAGGCACAGGCGTCCTAAGGTAGGGGGGTGAGCCAGGCGATCGTCTGGGAAGTGGCATCCACTTCAACGATGCCGCCCACGGTTTGGCCATTCTTCCTCCTACATCAGTATCATACAAGTACTGTACTTGGATCGCGCCATTTTTCCTCCTGCATCACTACGATACAAGCGCTTGCTTGGATCGAGGATACAAGTACTGGAAGGACGGGAATCCAGGCTTGCATACTGCTGGGAGGAAAACCCAACCCCAGCAGCACTGTGGCAAGGGTCCACATGGCTGGGAGCAGGGGTGGGGTGGGTGCTCATGCGTGGGCACGGTCATCAGGCCAAGTCCCCTCGGTTAGAAGGGGGCGGAGGGCAAGATCCAAAATCCCCGGGGAAAAAAAACAGTTGATTGGCTGCAGAGATAATGAGTGTGTGCTGAGGAATGGATAAGACCTAATTGGGAGAAGAGAAGAATCTCGCGCCCTCAACACCTCAACTCCTTATCCGGTTTGCGAAATTCCTCGCACGTGGTTTCAGGAAAGGCCAAACGTAACAAAACAGTCACTTCATGGCGAGAGGAGCATCCGAACAGGCAAAAGACGCCCGACCATAACCAACGCTTACAGGGGAAAGCACCAACACGTTCGGCGCAAAGCACGACCGAGACTGACTCTCTGCTGCTGCCGCTGCTGCTGCTGTCCGCTTGACATTTCAGACCACCGCCAACACTTGCAAGGGGCAAGCATCAACATATCCGGCGCGAGCGCGACCACCCACTCTCTGCTGCTGCTGCTGCCTGTCCGCTCGACATTTCAGACCACCAACAACACTTGCAAAAGGGGCAAGCATCAACATATTCGGTGCGAGCACGACCACTCACTCTCTGCTGCCGCTGCTGCTGCTTCCCGCAAGACACCTCCGAGAACCGGCCCATTCCGTCGATGACGCCTCTGTCGGGAAACACCACGCGTTTGTTTCCGTCCGTGCGACCGGTTAGCTCGGGCGCCTCCTCACTCCATCTGCCATGGATTTTAGTGCGCGCGGAGCAGAAAATACAACGAAAACGCGGCTTGAGGTCGTCTGTACACTTTCGGCTACAGATGCTTCAGTGCCAGAGATAGAAAATCACGACTATGATTTCTCGGCTCCTCGACCTTTCTGAGTAAAAGGTAGAAACAGCAGTGGCACCGCTAACCCAGTTCGTGTGCATGACTGCCACAACCGCACGATAATCAGCAGTCACCCCTTTCTGGAGTGGCAACCTCTCTAAAACCTAGTAATGGCTCGGGGGAATACCGACCGAGGTGTGCCTATCGTAGGGGATTACCTGCGGCTGCGGCCTTCCACAAGCACAAGGTGGTCCTTCCCGATCTCTTCCTCCAGGTTCTTGGCCAAGGCGTTTCTCCTAAACGTCTCAATGACCTCCTGCACCACGCAGACGGCACCCGGGAGCAGAACCATAAACAAGTGTTGCGTACGGCGTGAGAAGAGACGAGGGGTGTCGAGGGCAGAAAAGCGAATCCTGGCCATGCTTGCACGCGCGGCGCCTACGAATAGCCAGCAGGTGCTGATTCGACCCATCGATCTACCACGATTAAATCACCCCGACTACTGTTGGCGTTACTAACGCACACAAGGCAAGCAGTCCATCCACCGCCACCGCCGCTGCGCTGCAGGAAACTCATCATACCACCAAAACCGCGGATGCTCGCCTTGTAAACGCTAATGATTTGCTAGATGTGCTTTGACGCACGCAAACGTACAGCCACGAAGTAAGAAGGAAAAGGTGGGGAGGGGTCACCTCTAATCGCCGCTGTTTCACTGTCGGCGGGACATCGTCCTTAAGTCTTCGCGCTGCCCTTGTCTTCTCCCTCAGCGAGTACGCGTACATGAACGCCTTGCAGGCAGCAACAACACAAAAAACAGAGAAGGGACACATGTCATACGGAAAAGGGGAGAAAGGGTGCGCGTTTGTCACGGCGCGTGAGGACAAGCGGAAAATAAAAACAAAGAAGTAGATGATAAAAACGACAACACCGACATGATGTACTACGGCCGATGCAGGGTTACTCCGACGACCAATCTCAAAAGGCCGCAAGCAAAGCTTGTTTCTGGATATTAGTGAAAAAATCGACAGACTTCAAGACTTGAGGTGCAGAAAGGAGAGTCGCCACCGCTGTTCTTCCTCTCGCTCTATCCCGCCGAGACGCAAAATATTAGATTCATGGAATGAACAACCCGGTGCGTGCGCGCGCCCGCGCGCGTTGCTGCCAAACTTACTGCCAAAACACCCCCACCCCCACGCAAGGCAAGCACAGGGCGAGGGCAGAGCGTGACAATGAGGCACGAATTTGCCGGCGTGGGCACACAAGGCAAACAATCGATCTCTTCTAGTGTTCACTATTGTAGACATTGCCCCGATCCGCCGTGTTATTTAGACGCGTCTATTTCAAACGACGACGTCTATAGCAAACGACGACGTACCTGGTCGTATCGCACGGTCTCCATGAGAGACAGCGTGTCCCGGTGGTCCTCCTCGGTCTCCCCGCAGAACCCCGAGATGAAGTCCGAGCTGATCGAAACCCCTGGAACCGTGGCCCTGGCGTGGTCCACCAGGGCCAGGTAGGCCTCACGCGAGTAGCCCCTCCCCATGCGCTCCTGCAGCAGCCAGTCGGCCGAGTAGTGAGGCATCGAGCGGTCAGTTCAGCTAGGGGGGAGGGGGGGGGGTACTCATAGTCGTGCATGCCGTAGTCGTTTGACCATTGACCTCGCATCCCTACAAAGCCGGGACGGAGCACGCCGGGTTCTCACCGGACCAGGCTCTCACATCACCAAGCGCGAAGCGCCGTGAGGTATTTGGCGAGTCGCATGAAGGCTGAGCTGCATCCTGCTAAGGTTGTTCGGCATCTTGTGCTTACTTCCTTGCGTACGGATGACAGCTGGTTATGACTTAATTTATTTTCGGGTGCTTTCACTTCCAGAGACAGTTGTAAGCACTGTGTAACTGCCTCGAGGAAGCTTGACCATTTTAACACAACGTGGTGCGATCATCCCCCGTTGCGCGGAGTGAGGTTTCTCGACCCCGCACAACATGATCTACTCGACCACCATTATGGTTACCGCCAAAAAAAAAACGAGGTAAAAAACCAAAACGGTAACCTGGTTGTCGAGTTCACGAAGTGAATTGGCTTGTTTTACAACGTCGTTGCCAAGCGACGAAAACCCAATCCCGATGGCAAACACCGAGTGGGGGGCTTGTTTTACAACGTCGTTGCCAAGCGACGAAAACCCAACCCCGATGGC